GAGCACAAGTGAATGCTGTCGAGTCCCAGCTCACCTGGCTGGCTGTTCCTTACCAATAACCCATCAGGTTTATCAATAACCCATCAGATTAATCAATAACCCATCAGGTTTATCAATAACCCCTCAGGTGCTGCCCAGCTGAGGTGCCTGGGTGGGATTTGAGGAAAGAGGAGGCAGCTGCAGTGCACGGAGCAGCACAGCTGTCCTCTGCTGGCAGCAGCAGGATTTGCCAACAGCAGGATGCATTCAAAGCTGGTATTTCAACAGATTCCAAACAGACTGGATTGAGGCTTTGCTGTTCCAAACCCAAAATGCTCAGGGATGCTCATAAATAACCAGCTGGGAGGGAGGAATTCTTTCCACTGCAGGGTTTTTTACTGCCCACATCAGCTCTGGGTCTGACAGTAATAACTCTGTCAAAGGCAAACGTTTCCCATTTAAAAGTCACATTAGGGGCAGTGCTCACCTCCCGTGTCAAATCCAAGAATGTGCTTTTCCAGAGCAACAGGCAGACCCTGGAAATGGAAAAAAAAAAAAGTGTTAAAAATGTCATTTAAATGTTTGGTAAATCAAATCAACTACTACAGCAGGTATTGGGGAGAAAATATGGGTTTTGCTTAGACAAAAATATGTGAAAAATTTGAAAAGTTGATCAAACAACTCCCTTTTGTGTCCAGAAACACCAAACCCTGAGCATTATAACAGAAAAATCTTGCTGCTGAAGAATCCCTCAGTGGATACACAGGGCCTGCATTCAATCCTTAAAAGGCCAACAGCAGGACTGGGAGCCATCACCCAACCCTGCAGCTTCCCAGGAAAACAAAACTGAGCTTTCTCAGAAACTCCTGCCTTTCAACAGCTGCCAGCCTTGGAGCAGGGGCTGCCTGCAAAGAGCTGCAGAAATTCTCTGTAATCAACTTTTGCTGAGCTCACAGCATCCCCCACGAGCATCTGCTCAAGTGTTAAGTTTAGGAATAAAGGGAAATATTCTATTTTCTGGATATTTTATCTATTAAAACACTCCAAGGCAAAATTTACTGGTGGTCATTTCTGAGCATTGCTGTGTTTGCTTTGTGCAGCTGCAGAGGAGTGGTCACACTAAATCTTTACTCAGGGAGCTTCAACATGCACTTAAAATTAGATTTAAACATTCCAAATGCCAGAATTTGCTTTTATTACCCTCAGCAAGTTTTTTTTCAACATTTGCCAAAAGCCTTGCATTTTGCACAACAAAAACATCAGAGTTCAATACCATTAATTTCTGCAGGGATGGGGCTGTAAAGCTTTTAGACAGTGAAAATTTCCTTTAAAGGCTTTTACACACATGGGAAAAAAAAAAGAATCTGAGCTGATCAAAACACAAATTAAACACAAACTGGTGGCTGCAACTCATCTGCAAAAAGTGGGGTTTTTCCATGGCCTTTATAGAAAAATCCATGTTTTACTGCAATCTTAAAAATCCGTCTCCACTTTTAAAATTGGTGATCAAAATGCCACTAAAGCCACTTCAGAAAGATTCCAGAAATATCAGACTTCCTACAAGGATTTTTTTTTAAGAACTGAGGTTTGTACTTAAGGTTCCTGCCAGCCTGGGGGTTTTTGAGGAAAAAAATGTCATTTTTGGTCTTTTTTTCTCTCACAGTTCTTTGTGGGTGAACTCCCCAAGGTTCCTCCAGTGTCACCTGGTAGCAGGGAATTCCTCACTCTCCCTTCTTCCCACATTTTGGAGTCTGATCCTTTTTAGGGAACTCCCTTTGGAATCCTATAACAAGCTCATGATCCTTCAAACAGGGAATGAACTAAAAAAAGAGCACTTTTACATCAGGAACTTTACACACACAACTCCACTTCCAGCCTCATTCCCTACAAATCTGATTTATGAATGCTGCACAAAAACGTGGCCATTTACAAATCACTCAATTTTACTAATTTTACTTTTTTTTTTCTTTTTTTTAAGATGTTGATGGTCCCTCCTTGCACAGATTTTCCTGCTTCTCACCACTCCCTTTTCTCCACACCCCTTGGAATGTGGCATTCCTAAGGAAAAAACACTCCCAGGTTATCTCCCAGACAGAGACCTCTCAGCCCTGCTGATGCTTTGGAGATCTATCAAAAATGAACAATTCCCTGAGATTAAAAAAAAAAGAAAGAAAATCCCATTTTGATCCCAGCTGTGCAGCTATGAAAACAACAACTAAAAGCTGCTTTTTATTAACATTACAGAAGAACCTTAAAATGAAGACAACAGGCTCAGCTGTTCTCCTATTTTCCTGCTCTTTGATCTTTCCTGCTCTTTATGGATTTGCAGGTCCAAAGCTTTGATTAATAAATAAAGAAATAAATAAATCATGGATTGTTGTGAGCAGCTGCCAACAAAAATGAAGGAATTTGGGTTCTTTGAGCAGATGCAGCTGCTTTAGCAGGGACATTCACACTCATACACCTGCAGGGCAGGGGAGGCTGCCTTTCCCAAATTCTGGAGAGATCTGGAATGATGAGGAAATCCCAAACTAAAAACCCACAGTCATCCCCTGGAACATCTTCCCAACAGCCAGCTCGTGGTTAGCAAAGAATTCTGCAAAAATCTGATTTTAAGGGCAGCAATTTCCTTCACTGCTCATTTTTTTGGGGGGGAGGAGAGGAGAGAGGAGCTGCATTTCCATTCCTTGAACAAACATGAGGTGTCCATAAGAAAAAAATCACTCCAAACAAGGAATATTTCAATTTCTTTACGTAGCCAACACTCCTAATTCCAAGGAAAAGCCAGGCCATGCATTTCTCCTCACCCTATAGGCCAGCCAGCACAATCCTGTGGAAAATAACTCAGGGAAGAGCTTTTCCATGATTTCTCTCAGGTGTGTTTGTATTGACATGGAACAAACCCAGCTTTGTGTCCTGCCCTCCACAATCCCCAGATCTGCTGGAACCAGCGTGGTTGGGAGAAATGAATCTGCCACCACCCTCCTAAATGAAGTGTTGGAACAGAAATGGTTTTGACTGAGGGGAAAAGAGCTTTATCTTCACTAATTAGCAGGGAATAATTAATTCTGGCCATGGGTACAAACCTCCTTGGACTGGCTGGCTTTGGCTATGGCATCCTGTGTCAGGCGCTCCTGAACCAGAATCCGAATTGCCTGGGAAAAACGTGGAAAGGGAACAGGAATTAATTCATGTCCTGAGGCATTTCTCAGTAATTCCAAGTGAAAAAGAGCCAAAATTATAACATCAAACCCAGTTTTGTGACAGGTTTCTTTTGAAATATTTTTTCCAGCCCTTAAACCTTTCAATTTCGGAATAACCGTGGCATGTAGGATCTCACCCAGGTGACAGAACCAGAAGTGACAAGGACATTGATTTCACACCATTAATTCCTGCCCTTCCTGGGACAGAAGATGCAAAATACAAGGAACAGCCTGGGAATCTTGGGATTTTTAGCCTGGAGCAAGGGAGGCTCAGGAGGGTGACAGGAGTGAGGAATCAGGTGTGAACTGGGATCTCCTGACAGGGAACAAGGGACAGGACACGAGGAAATGGCCTCAAGCTGGGCCAGGGGAGGTTTAGGTTGGATATCAGGGAAAATTTCTTCCTGGGAAAGAAAGGTGGACAGGTATTGGAAAGGGTTTCCCAGTGGTGGAATCCCCATCCCTGCAGGGATTTATTTCAAAGCTGGGTGCATGTGGCACTCGGGGACACGTGGCAGTGCTGGCAATGGTTGGGCTCGATGATTTAAAGGTCTTTTCCAAGCTAAACAATTCCATGATTCCAAAATGAGCTGGTCACAGCCCCAAAGCAGCAGCACCAATCTGCTTTTCCTGAGTTCTCACATCTTTGACTCTGCAGCAATGCAGCTCCTCTGGGAAGGAAATGCTGCCT